TACTGTATATGACAATGCGTATTCAGTTATATTATGTTTGTAGCATGGCATTTTTCCATTCCTTTTTTTCCTGATGAATCACATGGTAAATTTTGATGTACAATGACTGCTCTTGCAAAAAATGTGGAATTCAGAGAGGGACTCTACAACAAGCAAGGTTTTAGGTTCTGAATCTAAATAACCTCTTCTTCAGTTCAGTCCTAGAAAAAGCTGATCAGAGAAACAAAGAAGCAACAATGAATGGGTCCCTTTCTTGACCACACAAGAGTTGTCTGTGTGCAAGTCATGAACCGTTTGTCCATCAATACAAGTGCGGGATTTGAACATGTTAATTCTGACCTTCTGTTGGGAGTTTATATTATACCTTTCATGCGAAGTAGTTACATTTATCACATGGAAGACAATGCCCATGGAGTGGAAGGTGGAGAGATTCAGACTTCGGAGGATGTTAATATGCTCATAAAATTTCAATTAAACTTGTAGAAATCTTCCATGTAGCTGTGATTGTTCTCTCCGGACATGGAGGATCAGTTCTTGGACAAATTTATTTGTCTGTTGTATGACTTGCCACCACTTTTTTCCAAAATTCCTATTCACATGTTATCAAACCATAAAGATCAATATCTTAAAACTTTAGTAGAATTAATCTGCCTTAATTTCTGGACTCTAGCATTTTGTGCTTCTTCACAAGTTCCAAGTTGTTATTTGGCGATTAATTTAATTTGGGTTCTTGGCACTCGCTCATGCAGGTTATGACTATGCCGTAGGTGACGTGCGGAAAGGCGACCAAAGAGTACATGAAGAATTCTTGCTATCAACTAGGGCTGGATGCCCCCAGGAAGAATGCCGTGAGTCAACTTTAATGACTAATATGTTAATTTCTTCTAGCTACACAATATGAGATATTGCTTCTTAATTAACGCTTACTGCTACGTAGTAAGATGACAATGGGATTTTGTTTCTCGAGATGGCACTCAGTAGTAAAAGTGGTTTATACTTCGAATAGTTGAGCAGAAAACTGGCGTGTCATGGCTCCTAATGTTACAGAGCAAGTGGACAGACTCTATCCC